ACACATACAAATAGATAAAGAAATAGGCACACACCCACTCCCAACACATACATATAGATACAGAGACAGATATAGATACACATACACACAAAATCAAAACAAGTCTGTGTATCATCTTTTTTAATACTGAATGGAATATTTGGGAGCTGAAAAGCATGTGATGGCTGATGCTTGATGCAGATGAATTTGGACTGTATTGTCAGTCTGCATTACAACCAGATGTGGTTTAACATCTCAGAGATTAATATAGTTATAAGTCTGTCATTTTTTAATTTTATTTTTTGCTAGTGACTGTCTATAAGGTGCATGTGATAACAGGAGAGCTTTGGAATGCTGGAACAGAAGCTGATGTGTATATTTCCATCTATGGCGAAAATGGTGATACAGGATCAAGACAGCTACGAAGGTCGAAGAAACCTACAAAGTTTTTAAAAGGACAAGTGAGTGACAGATCTTCCTGATCTGTTCATCAGTCCTATCTAATTCTTTTCCATGTAAGACTATCCATGGCTAAGGTGCTAGTTATACTAAAAAAAGGTCATTAATATCCAGCAAAATTCCCCTGCATAATTATTGACATTTTTGGAAAGAAGTTTTTAAAATATAGTTATTATATATGAAAACTTCAGGGTGTTAGTTAAAACAGTTAAGAAAACAAAAATAATATATAAAGTACTTTATTAACTGTGGTTCTAATACTGAAACATACTGCAATCTGTGGTCACATTAATAATTAAATTAAGGTCAGTTTCTACTCACTTGACTCATTTGCCCATTGATTTGAAACGGATCACTCCTGTAAGCAAAGCAATCCAGATTAGTTCTTTAATCATATTGTTCTAGGGAAACACTTTTGGTCATTTCTTTTGACATTATTGTATGTTATTTCATAGCATATGGGGAAACTCATGCTTCATGGTAGAGAATCAGACAGGTCTTACACTGTGGATGTTATGGGTCCTAGGGATGGTGATTCTTATTTAGTAGATCTAATTGCACTTTTGTGGGTTTATTGCAGACTGACATCTTTCCACTGGAGGCTGTACACCTTGGAAAGTTGTACAAGATTGTTATAGGACACAATGGACTTGGATCAGGTCAGGAATTTCTATGTATACTTTTCAAGTATTGAACACAAATTTCATCAGTTTTTCTTGAAATAGAGGGAGCATTTGTAAAATACAGGTTTCCCTCCACATATGCGGGTTCTTTATATGCAAATTTGCATTTATACGATGAGCATATTTAGACCCATAATTCGTTATATGAGAGGTAAAATCGCTCTTATGCAATCACCATAGATGCCCCCCCCAAGCAGGTAAGTCTGTGGGGGGAGGGGAAAGGGCAGTGGCTCCACTCACCCCAGCCCCAGCTGCAGCAGCCCCAGGAGCAGCCGACATCAGCCGCCTGCACCAGGGCTCAGCGCAGCCCAGGAGCAGAGGTGAGTGGGGAGTGGGGACAGGTGGAGCACAGTGCAGCCCAGTGGCTGCAGGCAGCTGGTGGTGATTGCTCCCAGGGCTGCTGCAGCCGGGGCTGGGGTGAGTGCTGCTCTGCTCCCTCTGGTTTGCTGCCTTGAGCAGCCCCGGG